ATAGTTATTTATGGGACTCAGTGTGTGATGCCTCTGCATTCTACTGCCTCAAACCTCAAATATTACCTGAAGGTGAAAGAAGCTAAGCCCCCACCTGGTGAGTCAGCCAGAGCACAGGATGGGGAGAGAACTGCGTCTCTACCCACCACCCCATTATGAGCAAGCAACCAGCTGATTCAGAGATTATGTCTTTTGTTTTTGCAGGTCTAAAGCCAATAGTCTGAGCAATTATTTAGACTACTGTTTAGATTCATTTATTTCCTCTAAAAATTAAAAATAACTTTTTTAAAAAATTCCCTGAAGGTGGCATAAAATATAATTTAGTCTGTGATATCAGTGATAGAAATGATACCTTTTTAAAGAAGGTTTATTATAATAATGCTGCTTCTTAAGGGCCTGCATTCCTAGGATTGCATTCCCTCCTGCTGTACCATCTTTTTAAATACATCGTATACAAAACTATGTTGACCAGTCCTGGTTATGTTGTTTTCCCCTTCTCTTTGGACCATGATAAGCCCTTGAGTTTTAACTTCAGAGCTGGGTAACTTTGAAATAAAGTGAAGAGACTGCAGGAAAAGGTAATTTGCATGTATAGTATTTTAAAAAAAGTGTTTTTTAGGTATGTTACAGGCCTACTTAAGCCATTTGATTTAATGCTCCAAAGTAACTATAATTTAATGGTAATAGTATAGTAAATTATGATGAAGAGCTTTATTTGTATGTTTAAAAAAGTCATATGTTCACATGTTTAAATCTGGGTATCAGAATTTAAGGAATTGTTGAACTGTATGAATGTCTCCTTAATACTCATTACAAAGCAAAATAATAATAATAATAAAGTAACATAAATTACTAAGTTGCCCTGCCTTGAACTTGTGATCCTTCTCCCCCATTTCCCAGAGTGCTGAGATTATAGGTGTGCACCACCACATCGGGCCCAAAATATTTTAGATTTAAGGAGCTGGGGATTTAGCTCAGCAGCATAAGCGCCTGCCTTGTAAGCAGGCAGTCGTGAGTTCAATTCCCGGTACCGATAAAAAGCAAAAAGACCAAAAAAAAAAAAAAGTTACCTAGCAACTAAAGTATTTAGTGCTCCCATATATATTAGAAACCTATTTTGTAGGCCTTTAAACTTCAGATTAATTTCAAAGATTATGGACTAAATGCTGTTTTCCTCCCAAAATTCTATGTTGAAAGCCCTAGAAATTATCTGGTAATATAAGCATCTCTTCTGAAAATAAAAATATGCAACATAACAACCATTGTTAAATTCCTATTACCTTGTTTTGAAAGCCTATGTTGTTATTGTTTTGGATTTTTTATTGTTGTTTGTGTTTTTGTTTTCTGTGGTTTTTCTTTTAAATAACAAAATAAAATAAATATATAAACTTTCATGATCAACAGATCAAAACAACCTATAACAGGTCATACTAGTCAAGCAATATGAATATCATATATTAATGGTCTGGTTTTAAATTTTCGTTTATTCTGGTTTTTTTTTCATTAAAGAGACAAAGTCATGTTAAATATAATTGGGAAAAAAATAAACAAGAAGCCAGATGTGGTGGTGTACTCCTGTAATCCCAGCTATCGATGCTGAGGTGGGAGGGCTGTTATGAGTTCAAGACAGGCCTGGGTTACAAAGTGAGCCCAAGGCCAGCCTGAACCACAGCCAAACCTTGTCTCAAAAAGACAAAAAAAAAATAGGGCTGGGGATTTAGCTCAGCGGCATAAGCACCTGCCTTGCAAGCAGGCAGTTGTGAGTTTGATTCCTAGTACCGATAAAAAGGAAAAAGGCGAAAAAAAAAAAAAGACAAAAAAATAAATAAATCTGCTTCCTACCATTAAAAAACAACAACAACAAAAAAGGCTACAGATGTTGCTCAGTGAACAGGCCCTGGGTTCAATCTCCAGTACTACAAAAAATTAAATAAGTAAATAAATATCAGTTATTGAATGTCCTCAATCTACAAAAAAAAAAAAACAGAAGACGAAGCTAGAAATGGAAAGTTATTTGCCTATGTCCAGCCGGGGTTTTTTCCCAAAAAACTTAGTTTATTTTGTTTTATTTTGTTTTGTGGTACCAGGTATCAAGCTCACAACCTTGCACTTGCCAGGCAGATACTTACGCCACTGAGCTAATTCCCAGCCCAAATTTAGAATTTTTAAACAATAATTGCATCTTGATATTTATGCTATTCACAAATTTTAAATACTTATCATCTGTAATTATAAAATGAAAAGAAACAAATTTAATTCAACTAACTTTTAGGTCAGAAAATAATCTCATTTGTTGCAAATTGTTAGTAAATTCACAGGAAGATCTCTGACTTTTACATAACATTTTTATCATACAAAGATCCTAATAGGAAACTTTGGTTCACTAACTGAACAGATGTTTCACAGTTTATTTCATAATGAGATCCTGTGCTTGAACTACCCTTTTAGTTGAATCTATTTAATTACTTTTTAAATATAATTATCTATTTGTTTTTTAATGTAGTGCTGAGGAGGGAATCTAGGGCCGTGTGCATGAGCTCTATCACTGAGCCAATCCCCAGCCCCTTAATTACTTTTTTTATTAAACAAAAACCACAACGGGTACTTCCAACTACAAAGCCATGTGAAAGTCTATCTTATCTCTTGAACATACTATAGTAGCAATTATTTGACACACCAGCTCTCTTGACCGAATCAGAGCTTCCCTTCAAGGTTACTAGGGTTTGCAATGGGCTGTGATGGCAAATCTTGTAGAGTTTTCAGTGTACAACAGCCCACTGCAGCACATGTACTATAGGTTCACCATTACTAGCATAGGGGATGAGTCTCATGTTCTTTGCTTATGATTCAACAACACTATCTCTGTCATTCAAAACAATACAAACACAGTTTCATTGAAATACAAATTATTTCAAATGTTCTATTTATAAATAACACAACACGCAGTTCTCACAATTTCATGCCTTTCTTCTAACACGTGCATACAGTTTTTTAATTCAGTCCAAGATGTTTCATTAAAAACCATATTATGATTTTTCCCATTCATAGTACAACTAGTCTTCTTATTGAGAACATGGAAGGAAAACCTAATTATTACTGCTTCAGTGCATCTAAATTTAATTATCAAAATCAACAGAGTAAGGGCTAGATACTGTCACAGAAGGGCAGACGGATATCAAGTATAAACTGCTCTTTCCTCTACTTTTCCTCCCCATACTCCACCCCTCAAAGTTCCATGGTTGAAAATCATCCTATTTTTAAGCCAGGATGTACTAAAATTAGATAAGAACAAAGGCCTGACATTTTCATATTAGCAGAAGGGTTAGGAGGCAAATGTGAACTGACAGCACCCACACTCATCTACATTTAGCCTCTGCTTCCCAGTTCCCTCCTCCTTGAAGAACCACCACAGACAAGGGAATGACAACTATCCTGATACTGTGTAGTGACATTATCCTTGACAATAAACTGCTTTATATATAAGTACATTAATGAAAATTGGTAAATATAGTTCACCATTTCCTTAGTCAACTGGAATATTTTCATATTTCTAAGCCCCTCTGACATTATCCAGGATATGCTAATTGCTGGATCATGTGCAAATGTTTATGTACATAGGAAAACGAATGCATTATACTTGCTTTTCTGAAGAAGCTTCACAACAGCATTCACAATAAAGATCATTCAATAAAATACTTACCATTCACTGGTGTAGTAATAACACATTAAAAATACAATATGGTAAAACATCTTTTCTTCAGAAAACAAAATCATTTCTTCTGAAAAAATGTAAATTTTGGTTACTTATATCTTCCTCTAATAAGTTAGGAAAGTAATTTGCAAAAACTTTGAAGCACAATTGATAGCTTGGTTATAAGTCTTTCTTATAACAGTATCAGCATGACAAAAGTACATTCTGCCATCCTATACAGCCCAGTTTTTGAAGTTCGACTGCATAAAAGCAGGATATTGACACATTCCTGTCTTGGGAATTATTCCTATTTTTTAAAATTTGATTTCCCTGAGCCTAAACTATATGCCCACGCAGTGACAGCTCAAAATTCAGCAAGAAAAGCCCTTTTAATGATTAATCTAAAGCACTATGTTATAAAGATTTTTAGAATTCAGTAAGTACTGACTCAAACTCTCTTTTTTTTCTGGTTACTGGAGCCCATCTTGACATCTAAGCTGGAAATGAATGATCTTTCAACAACACTCCAGGGATTTTGCTAAGGTCATATTCAATCATTCATTAGGCTTCTTACCCGTTGCTTTTCAGAGTTCCATTGTAGAGCTGGTTTTATTCAGCATTTATGTAGCCTGTGGGCTTGGGTATTTGTCTGCTTAATGTTGAGTTTCATTTCTATGCCCCTAACATAGGAATCCATCAATTGACCAAAGACTTTCAAACTATTCTTTTACTTTTCTAACAAATTGCATAGTGTGTATGAAGAATAAATTAGCATTAATTTTCTTCCATTAACTGTTAATAAAACATGCCCCTATACTCCCTACTTCTAAGACATCTCTGTTTCCTGCTTACGTAAAAAACAAAACCACCCCCCAAAAAAGAGATAAGATTTCTTAATTTTTTTTCACTATACACTTGCATTTCAACCTAGTATGTTCTATGCTTCCCACAAGGAAACTTTGTCAAGGCAGCCTTCTTCCAGTAAAATATACAAGACAAGACTCCTTTCAGAACCTACCCACAACCCCACTACAATTAGCTGAGAGGTTACTACTGTGGAACAGACACTTGGTCTCTTGCTCTCAACTCTCAGGGCTGTCTCTGGCACATGGACTAGGTCACAGGGCCAACAATAGAAACTCAAAACCCAAGTCCTTCCCCTGGAGTCAAGATGACTCCCTATTTGTACATATTGTCATTGTAGACCATGAAGCAGAGAAACACAGACAGCAGATAGACAGGCAGGCACACACATATACACACACAAACACAAATCCATAAAACCAAATTCTTTAACAAAACAAGTCTATTAAGATAAACTGGAAGGCTTTTATTTCTTTGCATACCAATTTGAGGAAAATCATTTTAAATTATATAAAAATTACTAACATACATTTCTTAAAAATTAAGTTTTCTGTTATACTATGGGTGAATATGAAATGAGGCCAATATACAATACTGTATTTCAGTATTCTAGAAATTTGAAAACATATTGTAAGTGAATTGGAGCATATTATTCATAAAGACTGCCTTTTGTATATGTTTAGTATACTTCTTCCCTCAAATTAAACAAAAGATCGCATATTTATCACAGATGAAGAAAAGCAAGCTCATTTCTACTGTGATGCAGAAAAAACTCAAAGAATGCATTTATTTTTAAATAGCTTGAGTAAAATTGCTAAAAGTAGTGTCAGGTTTGATCCTTATATACATAAATGCCAGCCCAGTAAAGTAACTCTTAACTTGTGCACTGGGCTTAAAACAAACTGTTTTTAAAACTTTCGATATGTTAACTGGTAGAGCCCATCCCATTCCCTTTGGACTTGCATTTGTACATACTTCTAACATGTAGAAGTAGCTGGTTATACAGCAGTAACATCATCATGAAAAGCAACAATTCTGAGCAGGCTTCTCCGAGCAATCTCATTTGCATTTCAAACAAGTTTCCTCAAAATAAGAGCCTTTTGATTAAATAAAATTACAATTCCAACTTCTTATCCATAGAAAACAGCATTCATTACATAACTTACCGCTCTTTTTTATAACTGTATAATTTTGTTCATAGTTGCCGGCCAATGCGTAAGATTTAACAATACTAAGTTTAATAATAATGCGTTTATGGGTTATTTCATTAACTGGTGACATTTAATGGCCCAGTTTCTAATAGCTTAGTATTATCTGAAAATATAATTTCACATTAGGATGTTGTGCTTCCCATTTATTCTGATTTCAATCATTAAAAAGCTGTCTTCTACCAAGATTAAAGTGGTAAGAAGAATCACAGTTCCCTTTTCCTAACCTTATCAATAGCTCCATGATTAAAAAAAAGAACAAAAAAGGCTTTACCTTTACAAATGGAACAAACATGCCCTACCAAGGACTCAAAACAGTTTTTTTGGGTTTTTGTTTTTAAACAAAGACCTATTTCGAGTTTTCCGTGAATCAAATTTAATGTCTGTCTAGTCACATGTAGAAAACCTATTTTGTTGGATTGGTGCTTTTACTGGTTACTCAAAATTCTAAAAGATTACTTATTTAGTTAGTATTATATTCAAAACCACAGACTATTAATGTGAAAAAAACAGATCCTCAATAAATTATAATTGTTATGTTCCTATAATTTAAGAGCTCACATAAAAACCAACACAATTTTTAAAATGTTTAAATTGGATACATTTTTAAGTAATTTCTCACTTTTTATACTTTATAAATGCTTTCCCAAATTGCTCCTTGTAAAACTGCTCCACGTAAAATATCTTTAGCTATGCTGCCTAAGAGTAACATTAATGTTGATCTAAGATTCATCCAACCTCCAACCCTCATAAAAGAAACAAGATATAATGCAAGACTTAATTATGGAAGAACATTTACTAAACAACAAAAATTGTTAGTTTTGTAACCCGATGGAACCAAAAAGCTAAAAAAAAAATCATCAAATGCTATCACTTTTGAAAACTTTGCATTATGACTCCAATATTAAAAAACAACCCAAATATTAAAAAACTAACCTGATGTAAAATGGCATTAAGTAGTACCTTTGTTGCTGTTTCTGTTTTTGCAGTACTGGGGATTAAACCCAGGGTTTTGGGTACCTGCTAAATGCTAGGCCACTGAGCTAAATCCCCAGCCTCCTTATCTTTTCAAAGCAATAAATTCACTGTCTTGCTAAATTAGCCCCTAACTAGAACATTTGCCTCTATAGCCCTGAGGGTTTATATAACTGATACCACCCTTTCTCAGAATGACAAAATTCAATTATTTTTTTGTTTTGGTTTGGTTTCTGTTTTTTGAGACAGAGTTTTGCTATGTAGTCCAAGGTGGCCTCAAACTTGCGATCCTCCTGCCTGAGATCCCCCTGCCTGAGATCCCCCTGCCTGAGATCCCCAAATGCTGGGATTATAGACGTGCACCACCAAACCTGGCAATAAGTATTTCCTGATCAACTGATACATTTCTATTTTTCCTAATTACATATGTGAAGGTCAAGAAGTTCTTCCCAGCTATTAAACTATTTTAAAAGTAACCACCACTCAACCCAAAATAATATTTTTATATTTCATATCCTCATAAAATATTAAGAAAGTTGTGTTGTTATTCTGGACCTCAATGAGTTTGGGGTAATCTTCCTAAATAGTCATATTGAATTCCACTTTACCAATGCACAAAAATCAAGAATACATGCTTTTTGCAAAATAATTTACTAATTGCTTAGCAGTCACAAGAAATTGTTTTAAGGCAAACAAAGGAAAACATTTATATTTCATGTATAAAAGCAAACTTAAAATTATTCTTCATCAATCTCTTAAGAACAACCACTTACATAGACATTATTTTCATCATCCCATTACAACTAGTCACCCTGTATATTCTGTGTACTTACTAAGCATTTATTTGTCCTTCTATTTTCTGTACCAGGTTTGCTTTTCTCTGTAGCTTCTTTTAAAAAGCTACCTGAATTTTTCCAAGAGAAAGTTTCACTTTTTCTGAAAAACCAATGCTGCTACGCTGTGTCCAGATCTGCCTCCAAAGCTGAATGTGGGTGTTGACAACTCTTCAAAAAGTTCAAATCCTGTTGGACAAAATTAAAATACTTTTAACTACATATTGCATCTCAGTTAAGAGAAAGCTGTATTGTTTTTGTGAACCTAGGGCCTCACACATATCACATCTATACTAGGAAAGCCCTCTACTATTAAGCTACATCCCTACTCCTTCTCTTTTCTTTTTCATGTTGAGACAGAGTCTCACTAAGTTGACCAGGATGGCCTCAGATTTGTGATCCTTGTTCCTTAGCATCATGTCCAGCTAACATTTACTTTTAAATCCTTCATAAAACTGTGATTTCAAACTCTGAATGGTGACTGGATTTCATGATTTTCTAGTTTTACTACCAGTGCACAGCAAACCAAACATTTTGAAATGAACAAGGAACAGACAATACCAAAAACAAAATACTAAAAAGAGACTTTCTCACTTAATTTCCTATTTCCTTCACTTCCACATTTGCATCTCTCTTAGCCTACTTCACTGCCCTCTTTATAGGCAGCAACTATCTATCATGTTCAGTTCTTAACATTACCAGGCACACTGTTTTTTACATGGTTTTATTACAGGAATTCAACTAATCCATATCACATATATAAAAGTGCTTCACAAAGAAGGTTTAAAAACCTGGAAGTAAAAATGAATTTGTAGAAGATGGAAACAGTCTGGAGATGAATGGGACAATGATGTAAGTGTACTTATGTCTCTGAACTAAACACGTAAAAAGTGATTAAAAATGATAAAACCTTATGAGTGTTTTTTTAAAAAAGGATTTATAATGAACTTCAAAATCCAAACTGAACCAGTAAAACAGTCTTGGAAAAAAAGAAACTAGTAACTTTCAAAACAGCACAGTATGGTCATTAAAAAACAAAACAAAATAACTAAAGTCTTGAGTTCAATTGTGAGCCTCACCACTTTGTTGAGAGATATGCTGCCCTAAGCTCCTGAATTCTATGCAAGAAAATCACAGTTACCAATGTCCTCTGTGGAACTCACAGTGATTTGAAAAGATCCCAATAAAACAATGTGCTTTCCTAAACCCGAAAATAAGGTGTAAATACAACATGTTACCACTTTGGTTTCTAAGAATAAAACAGTGCTGGGGATATAGCTCAGTGGTAGAACACTTGCCTCGCATATACAGTGACCTGGGCTTCATTCCTAGCAACATGAAAATTAAACAAACAATAAATAAAAATAAAAAAATGTTAACCAAGGTTTTTCCTCAGTGACAGGACTAACAATCTGAGAGGATTTCTTGTTTTGTTTCTGTGCTTTGAGCCAAATAGCTGTTGTAAACAGGAAAAAAAAAATGTTTCAAAGATATTTTTATCAACTGGATTTTTATATTTTGTGTCATCACATATTTCATTCATAGTCTTTATAAAACTTCACCAAATCTCCAATTTTGTTGTTGGTGACTTTTTTTTTTTTTTTGAGACAGGCTTTTATTATGTATCCCAGGCTGGCTTTGAACTCTCCATCCACTTGCCTGAGCCCCTAAAATGCTGGGACTACAGCAATACATGCCTCCATGACTAGCAAATTTCACCAAATCTTAATAAATATTAAGATACTCATTAAAAACAGGTCACCAGCCAGGCATGGTAGTGTACCCCTATAATCCCAGCACTTAGAAGGCTCAGTCAGGAGGATTGCTACAAGTTTGAGGGCAGCGTAGGCTACAAAGTAAGTTCAAGGCCAGCCTGAACGGCATAGTGAACTCCTATCTCAAAAAGACACACACACACAAAAGATCATTAGGCATGGTGAAGTACACCTACAATCCCAGCACTTGGGAGACTAAGGCAATCAGATCACCACAAGTTTGAGGTCAAACTTGTATATATATGTAGTACACAACTCTACATGACTGTAATTCAAGAGGCTGAGGCAGAAGGATCACAAGTTCTAGGCCTACTAAGGCAACTTAGCAACACTCTGTTTCCAAACTAAAAATTTAAAAAGGACTAAGAGGTAGCTCAATGGTAGAATTTCTAGTATTGCAATAATAATAACAACAACAAACACTTTAAAAAATAAGAAAAATTTCTCAAACAACAGGCATTTGAAATAGCATGATGTATGATATACTTTAATGCTGGAAAATGGAACCACTGTTTAGGTACATGGGCACATACCCATATTTGTTTTCAGAAGTTTTACATGTATTTAAAATGAATATTTTCAAAATACAGTGCAGTGCTGTCAATTTTCCAGGACTAATTTTTTTTTTTAGTCCCTGAACCTAAGGCTACTGAATTTATATAGCATTTCTGTATGTAAGGTACTAGAATCTTTTTTTGAGGAGAGGGGGTACTGGGAATTGTACCAAAAGCCTTTGCACCAAGCTCCATCTCAGCCAGATTTTATGCTTCTTATTTTTCATTTAATTTTATTTTGGGGGTTTTTGAAAAATAGGCTCTCAATATACTGCCCAGGCTGGTCTTGAACTCATGGTAATCCTCCTGCTTCTGTCTCCTGAGTGCTGGAACTATAGGTACGTGACACCATGCCCACCTTTTTTTTTTTTCAGACAAGGTTTCAATGTGTAGTAAGATTGGCCTTGAGTTTACTATATAGCCCAGGCCAGCCTTGAACTGGAAACAATCCTCCCTGCTCAGCCTCTTGAATGAAGGGAATACAGGCACACACCACCACATCTGGCTTGCCCACCTATACTTTTCATTTTGACACAGTTTCTCACTAAGTGGCTAAATTGACCAGGCTGAGCTCAAACTTGCCTCCAGCTTCAGCCTCCCAGAATGCTGGGATTAATGGTAGATGCCAATATACTCAACCAAAATCTCACCCAGAAGTGCATTCTATTGATGGTTAACAAATGACTTTAGCCAGGTGTAGTAGTGCACACTGGTAATCTCAGCACTCATTGTTGAGGCAGGAAGATTGCCACAAGTTCAAAACCACCCTGAGTTATATAGTTTTGTGGCTATGTCTAAATGACACCCCCCCCCCAAAGCCTCATACAGTCAGTCATAGGTGGGGCTTTTTCAGAAGTAGCTGAATCTAGAAAGAGTGACTGATTCATAGTGCAATGCTAGGATTAAAGGTGCTAGAATTAAGTGTGGGTGATTACTAAATCAGTCCACTGATTGGTTTGGCACCACCCTAATCCTGGTATTTTAGATGCAGTGTAACAGACAGAAAGAGGCTTGTCTCTTGCTTGCTTTGCTACGTTCTGCCCACCATGAACTGTTTCTCCTCTTCAATGCCTGTCTGCCATGTGACACCCTGCCTTGGAGCCAGTAGATTATGGACTGAAAACCTCTATAAACTGTGAGCTAAATAAATCTTTTCCCAATTTAGCTTTGGGTCTTAAGTATTTTTTTCTCAGCAACAAGAGAAAAGAAAGATATACAGTGAGATCAAGGTCAGCCTGAACTGCATAGTAAGAACCTAGTCCTCCAAAATTAAATTTAATGATTTTACTCTCCACACTTATGTGTTGAGGATATTAATATTTTAACTTTTTTTCATAATGAATCTACTTTACTTTTGTAATAAAATAGGTTATTGTTGTTTTAATTCAGTCTTTGTAATAAAGTTGTCTGTTGAACATTAAACTAGAACACTATAATATCTGACAACTGATTCAAGTTGAGCCTCCCTGAACAAATTACAACACAAAATGTTTATGCTGTATGAATAGGGCGATCAAGGAAAAAAATGTAAGATTTCAACAGTTTTACGAATATTTACACTTAAAATAAGGAAAGAAGCAACCTTGAATGAATAGTAAGGTCAAGAAAATGTGGCAGTCACTGTGCGTAGCTAGAAACAAGGCTTTGACAGTGATGCATGGCAGGGTACTGTTACTGTCCTGCATCTAACTCCAAACACCATTTTCTAAGAGACTCCTACCTAAAAACCATGTCATCAATTGTATGTAATTATTTCTTTAACATTTCCTCATAACATTTTACTTATTTTAACTCTGTATTTAGTTCTAAAATTGAACATAAAGAGTTTACTCAACAGATCTCAGACACAGACACGTTTTTAAGCACACTATACCAGGCTGAAGTCTGTTCCTCATTATCAAAGACAGACAAATATGTTTTTGTCTGCTGGTTCCAGGAGTAAAAGAGAACACCTTCATTTAAAAACTAGGAAAGGAACTTGCCCTACACAGTACAGCTCTGCGTATTTATTAAAACTGTCAAGTTTCGGAAGAAGGAAAGACTATTGATATTGGGTTTCAGCAGTGCTAAAGGAAACAAATTTAATGTGGAAGATAATAAAATTAATGGCATAAAATAAGACAATAAATCACATATAACTCTTATTTTCCAGAGGCAATGGTAATGAAGCCACAAGCTCACATTTCTAGCTTCAAACACTTCAAGTTTTACATCATATAATCTGTCAAACCCACTAAATGCACACAAAGTGGCATATCTAGTATTCCCCCTGCCTAGTCCCTTAATACCAGAAAGAAAACCTAAAATGCAGCCTGCACAGTGTAATTGTAAGTAACAGTGCACAGTAAACTGTGCTCCTGAGGTAAATTGTCCTTCAGTTTTTAACAATTAAGGTTAAAATTTAATCAAATTAAAAATTTAACCAAATATTTAGTGCTGTATCATTTACTACTTCATCCTAAAAATTTCTATTGCCCACCAAAATACATACATACATATTAATATGAAAAGAATTAAAGGAAAAAGTAACCAAATACCTAAATATTTTCAAAACATTTCCCCAGAAAGGTATGTGCACTGTATAATACACTGGCAGACAAAAATATTCCCTAAAACATGCCAGGCACAGTCAACCAGAGAACTCAAAATGTTCTGCATACAGATTATCAATTTTTTTTGTTTGTTTGTTTTGTTTTTTTGTCTTTTTCCTTTTTACCGGTACCAGAGATCGAACTCATGACTGCCTGCTTGCAAGGCAGGCGCTTATCCCGCTGAGCTAAATCCCCAGCCCCAGATTATCAATTTTCAATGATCACGAGATTCTAATTAGCACATATATCACTATATGATCCTACTACGATGGTACTGAAATAGTGAAAAAGGAAACCATTTCCACAAGAATTAGAAAATATTAGGAAACTTAGGTAGAACATCTAACATTCCCTAATTTTATTTCTATGCAATGTTAAAAATAACTGTCTTGGGGGCTGGGTGATTTAGCTCAGCGGCGTAAGCACCTGCCTTGCAAGCAGGCAGTCGTGAGTTCAATCCCCGGTACCAATAAAAATGAAAAACAGACCAAAAAAAAAAAAAATGACTGTCTTATATATGCTAAAAATTAAAAGATAAATCTTAAATAACTAGCCACTAGAGCAAGACATAAAAGTATCTATAAAATAGAAAAATCTCAAAGCAAGGCATGATGGTGCATGTCTATAATCCCAGCACTTAGGAGGCTGAGGTAGGAGGATCACTGCAAGTTCAAGAACAGCTACAAAGTGCTACAAAGTGAACTCAAAGCCAGCCTGAACTGCATAGTAAGACCCTGTTTCAAAAAGACTAGACTAAATGTATGTACTACTGTTATCCCTTAATTTACGTGCTTTGAAATTTTGTTATAGTTTTTTTCTTCTTTTTTCTATTTATCTTTGAAAAAAATGGATTTGAAAAATAAAAATTAAGAGACTAGACTAAAATAAAAAAAATAAAATAGATAATCTCAGTGAGGCATGGTGAAACACACCTATAAACCCAGTACTCTAGGCGGCTAATGTAGAAGGCAAGATTGAGCCCAGCCTGAGCCATTTATCAACTTAATGAGATGTTGTCTCAAAATAAAAATTAAAAAAAAAAAAACTAGAGGAGCTGAGGATTTAGCTCAGCAGCATAAGCTCCTGCCTTGTAAGCAGGCAGTCGTGAGTTCAATTCCTGACACTGATTAAAAAAAAAAAAAAACTAGAGATACAGCTCAGTACAAAGGTCCTGAGTTCAATCCCCAATACTGGGAAAAAGAAAAAACAAAATCTCATCATATAACACTTAAAAATACTATTTCTATTTTCATTATTACAGATTTGCCAGGGAAATCAGTACACTGAAGTCAAAAACATAATACATGTGGTTTTTTTATTCTCTAAATAATACACTATACAGCTTAAATAAAAGATTGCACTGCTTAAATAAAGAATTTGATTTTTATAGGCTCATAAATTTTAGTACTTAACTGCCAGGATTTCTGGGAAAATTTTAAAAAGAGTTCTGGACCTCAACCAATGTTATTTCTCTGTGCTTTGTATATACAGTTAAAAGTTATTACCATGGTCATTAACAGAGAAGAAAAGCAGGCAATTCTCACAAATAGGAAAGTAAAACACTATAACACCAAGGGAGAAAAAACCTATTTAAGTACAAGAAACCTGAGGTAAGTGCACAATGAAACACCATGTAGCCATTTACCTTCACTGAATTCATTTAGCAACTCTTCCTTGGTCCAATTACATGAGGTTATTAGAAAAAAGCCTTTTACTTTCAACACCATGGAGAGAGACTTCACATATTGCTTCCTCTTCTCAATTGCATTGTCAGGATTAAGACTTATGGCATCAAAAGTCCCTTTGTCAATACAAATATGAAATCCAGACAGCTCTGTAGAAAGATTCAAAAAGTCTTCCACCTATATTAAAAATCAATGTCTGTGTGAGAACAACATAATCTTCATAGAATTTTAGTAACAACCTATAAAAGGTCATGGATAAAAGGGCTCATTAATTATGATGGCATTTTACATATGATAAACATATTTGCTACATTACAGCTAACTTTATGGGCTTCATCCCAAGATCATTAAAACCAAGATCAATTAAGAGAGGCTGACAGTGTTTGCTGAACATGTTAAATCTCTACAATTTGGAAACAAGTCAAAGTCAAATAATACAAGCATATCATGAAGTTCACAAGCCTTCTTTATGAAAATGTTTGTCAAAAGTAAAATATTTACAGTAGGCCTGGTGGTGCATGCCTGTAATCCTAGCATTCTGGGAAGTTAAGGTAAGGGGATTGCAGATTCAAGCCCAGCCTGGGCAATTTAGCAAGTTTCTGTCTCAGAATAAAATAAAAGGGCTGGGCTGGAGATTTAGCTCAGTGATATAAGCACCTGCCTGGCAAGCACAAGGTCATGAGTTTGATCCCTGGTACTAAAAAAGAACTAAAAGGGCTGGGGATATAGCTCAGTGCAAAGGTTCAATATTCCAGCACCATTAAAAAATAAAAAAACAGTAAAGTATTTGACATATTTATTAAAATGACAAAATATATTTGGAACTCAGGAAATGAGATTTTTAGCTTATATTTCTAGTTGTGTAACTTAAAGTAAACATGGTAAATCAGAAGTTCTTTTGCTTTAACTTAGCAGCTTGCAAAGCTTGCAATGAATATATGAATGATAGGAAACTTAAAAATTAAAAGGCTACTTAAACTATAATTACTTAACTTGTTAAATATCCTGCACTTTAAATTTTTAAAGTCATACATCAGCATCCTGTTCTCAATAACCTGATAGAATTAAGCATCTGAAAGTGATCTGTGTCAATTTTTAAAAATATTTCCCAAAATATGTCAATGAATTTTTTCTGAAAAGCTACTTTGAAAAACATAATTAGTGCATAATTACTCATACAAATTTAATAAAGTAACTATAAGCAAAATTGTTTCTAAAACTCCTGGAGGCCAGGAATGGTGGTGCACACCTATAATCCTAGCACTGGGGAGGCAAGAGAATCACCACCCAAAACCAGTCTGAAGTACATAGTGAGATCCCCACCTTAAAAAATAATCCTAAACTCCTATAGACTTACAAAAGGTGAACACTGCAAAAGCACACCTGCATTCCATCTCCAGTATTGAAAAAAGTAGATATAATGTATTTGCATTAGAAGATGGGATTTTTCCCCTTCCCTCATATCCAATGTACTCACTACACACGAGCAAAGTAATGACTACCACTCTGAAAAACTTTGGAGAAGCTTTCTCATCTTAAATATTTGTATGAAAGTACACCTGTATTCAGAAAACACTTTGAAGTATTTTCCGGATTTAGCACATAACAGTGAATAAAGCAGAAAATTTCTTTATTATTACTATTCCTGGTATTTTGTATAGGAAGACAAATAAACTGTTATAGTTTGAGTGTGTTCTTCAGAATTCATGTATTGGAAACTTAATCCCCAAAGTCCTATGTTAATGGTACTTGCTTTTTGTTGCTGTTTATATTTTTGTTCTGTTTTATTCTGTTAATAGTATATGGAAGTGGCTTGTGGGAGGCACAGGGTCACGCAGGTGCTCTCTCCACGGACTCATGGGCTACTGAGGGTGTGGCTCCACTGTAGAAGCACGCTCTCTCGGGCACGCTTGCTCTGTCTCACCTTGTGTTGTCCTCCACCACATTATGATGCAGGAAGACATTCACCACATACTGATGCCACAGGCTTAGACTTCGCAGCCTCTAAAATACTGAACTAAATAAACCCCTATATTTTCTAAACTACCCACCCTGTGGTATTCAGTTTCAACAACAGAAGGCAGAATATGACATACCCTAAACAAAGAAAATAAAAACAGAGTAATAACACAGTGAGTAACTGGCAAGAAAATATTTTTGAAAAGTGTCCTTAAAAATCCTCTCGAAAAAGGTGATTATCTGAGCAGATCTGAATGATAGTATTGAGCCAAACATGCTGGTGCAAGAATAGTCTAGGCAAAAAAAAAGAATAGTCTAGGCACAGGGAAACGGGTATAAACACTGAAAAACAACATGCTTCAGGAGCATAAAACCAGTATGACTGTGGAGTACTCCATAAAGGTGAAAAGAAGGAATGAGAGACTTAGTAAAGCTGAGTGTGGGGTTCAGATTCCATTTTGAATGTAAAGAGAATTAGAGGACTGTGAGCAAGGAAGTGTCATGAAGTGACATGAACTACTAGGCATTATAGCCACACACTGTAATTCAGCATTTTGGAAAGCTAAGGCAAAAGAATTACAAGTTTGACACCAGCCTGGGCAACTTAGCAATTGAGTAAAACCCCATCTCAAAATTAAAGGATTTTTGCTGGGCATGATGGTATATACCTGTAATCTCAGCACATGGAGGCTGAGGCAGGAGGATGGCTGTGAGTTCAAGGCCAGCCTGGGCTACATAGTGAGTTTAAAATCAGCCTGAACTACATAGGGAGACCCTGTCATAAACAAACAAAAAAACAAACAAATAAATAAATAAAACAAAACAGAACTTTTTGATCTGGTTAATACATAGTTAGTTAGATATAACTTGTAGGTTTTTGCAAACATTGAGGAGGACAGAGTATAAACACACATGTATATAAGAAGAGGGGCTGGGGATTTAGCGCAGTGGCATAAGTGTCTGCCTTTAAAAAAAAAAGAGTAATTTCCCTAAACTGACTAAATTTTTTTCTCTAAAATTTTAAGACTAGAAATATTTATTGAAAGAAAGAAAGCTTCTGTCTGAGAGAGACAGAAGGAGTCCCCAGTGAGTTGTCACTAACTAACTTTTTAATACAATTACTTTCAAATGTTTCAATTTGTATTATTTTATAATCCCAGCACTTGGAAGGCTGAGGCAGGAGTCTGAGGCCATCCTGCGCTACATAGTGAGTTGAAGGCCAGCCTAAACTACATAGCAAAACTATCTCAAAATAAGATAAATGAATTTGCATTATTTACAATTTATCATTAATTTATAAGTCCTAGGATGTCACCAGATTAATATATTTTAGAAATATTTAAGCTTTATAACTTCTATTACAAATAAACATTAAATTATTATAAATTATTCTATTATAAATAAAAATATTACAGTAATTTAAATAGTTACCTTCAATTTAATGTTAGATAACCCTTCTTTCTCTACAATACTTCCAGAAAGCTGAATGGCAGAAGGAGAATAATCAATTCCAGTAATATCAGAGAAGCCAAATTTTGCCTAGAGACAGAAACAATTTTATACTTTAGTTTTAGTATGTTTTCCCTATAAATTATAATATTCCTTTTGTACTGAGTTGTTTTAATTTTAAATTATAGATGACACATAATATCCCACATCTATAATGTTTAAATTTTATTATAGAATCTAAATAGAAATCAAAAGATTAAGCTTATGTATGACTATTCACTTATTTTTATAATATTCCATTTCTTTTTCAAAAAGAAACCATTTTTTTCAAAGATAATGAAAACATATCAATAAAATTCTCAGGTCAAAAAATACTAACTTCTGATACTGATATGCTCCAGTTTACATATAAATTTTACTTAAGTTTTATGACTTAAATGTACATGTAGTAAGTTACTGATTTTAAATTTTTTCCTTCAGTGTAACTACAAATTATTCAATTCTCAGCCAGTCAATGTATGTGTTTATTAACCATCCTATATTTGTATTCATTTTTTAAATATTCCACACATTCCATTAACTCTTTACAAAATGATCTGCAAAGCAGGCTCAGCAGATATTAATACCCCACAGAGTTCAAGAAAGCTCACTAGACTTGACAGGTATGCAGTTTACTAACCTTAAACCCTTGCAGGATATATGGGGCCAAGTGGTAGAAGCATGGTGGCTTCTATTTTTCACCCATCCCCTAACTATGCTGAACAATTCTAGACTGAGGCTAAAAGAATTTGAAAGGAAATAGGAAAAACAAAAGAAGTTGCAAAGTGCAGTGTGCCCTAAATTCCCTCAGTGCTCTTTACTACTTACTAAACAGTTAACTTCCTTCAAAACTTAGCCAACTCCTCCATCGTGCACTGAGACTAAGCCAGCCTGTCAATCCTAATCTGAACTCAAAGCTCACCACACCCAGTATGTTCCACAGAGCATTTGCTGCTCCTTTTAATTAGTTTTATTTTATTCCTGTGGGCTAAGGGCTCCTTTTTTGATGCTGACCCCTTTATCCTGTTAGTTGTCTTCCTCTTTACTTTTGGAAATTTTCATTATTTTTTAAAATTTCCTTCAGTTCCTTCTCTAACAGACCTAGAAGAGTCTACCAATTCTAACCAGTTCAAACTTTTTCCATGCCCATTTATTCTTGCAATACAACTTATAAAAATCACATGTAGATATCTTTGGTTCCTAGAACAATTACTTGGGGCCTCAAACTTGGGGCCTTTCTCCATTTCTCACATTAAATTTCCAGCATTCAGAGAAAAGTAAGCAGACATGCAAGAAAAAAACAAATGATCAAAAAACTTTTAGTAGAAACTGACATTAGAAACAGACCCCCAAAGGAGAGCCAAATACAAGAATTATCAGAAACAGATTTTAAAGCAAGTAAAATAAATGACAATAGGGGCCAGGGATATAGCTCAGTGGCACAGGGCCTACCTGGCAAGTGCAAGGTCCTGAGTGCAATTCCCAGTACAAACAAAAACAAAAACAAAAACATTACATGACAATGACAAGCTGAAGTATTTTGGCAGAGAACTGAGAACTGTATTTTCTTGAGACAAAGTGTCACTATGTAGTTCAGGCTGGTCTTGAACTCACTATGTACAGCACGTTAGCCTCAAACATGCAGCAATCCTCCTGCCGCAGCTTTTCAAGTGCTAGGACTACAGGCATGAGCCACTATGCCAAGCTGAGAACTTTAATAATGAATCAAACAAACAACAGAACTAAAAAAATGCAATAATTAAGAGATACAAAAATGAAATTGACAGTGTAGAGATTCCTCAAAAAATCTAGGACTAGAGTTCCATTCAACACAGCTATCACCCTTCTTGGTATCTTCTTGAAAGAATTAAAAACATCATACTACCCATGCATACCCATTTTTAGAGGAGTACACCCATTTTTACATGCACATCCATTTTTATAGCAGCACAGTTTGTAATAGTCAAATCCTGGAAAGAGCTCAAATGCCCATCAACTAATCAATGGATAAAGCAACTAATGAATGGATGTAGCTCTGTGGCACAGTACCTGGCTGGCAAGTGCAAGGTCGTGAGTTCAATTCCCAGTGCCCCATAAGAAAGAAACAAAGCAAGCAAGCAAGCAAATGTTCAAATAAGAAGGAGAATATAGAAGAGGGGAAGGGGAAAGTAAAGAGAAAAGCAAAAAAAAAAAAAAATTAGAAAAGAAGGAAAAAATGGAAATAGCTTTTGTAAATGGAGAGGGAAGGAGGGATTGAAGGGAGGGTAAGGGAGTGAGAAAAAAAGAATCACGTTATATCATGTACAGGTACAAACTCATCATGATGAATGTGATCATTATATATAACTAAAATGTTGGTACATAAAATCCGATTGGAAACTGTCAAAAAGAAAAAAAGAAAAAGAAATGGGATTGATAGCACATTAGACATAGTTAAAAAATTTTAAAGGGCCGGGAATTTAGCTCAGTGGTGTAAGCGACTGTGTGGCAAGCACGAGATCATGAGTTCGATCCCTGATACCAAAAAAAAAAAAAAAACAAAAAAACACTAAGAAATAGTAAACAACACTCAGAAAATATTCCTATTAAATACAGAATGACAAAAGGATGGAAACTAAAATCAAGAACAGACCTCCCCTCCCTGGTAACTGGCTGCAATGTGGCAGATTGCGGCCCTTCCAGGGGGAGAACCACCAGCAACTCCTGAGATCCACGCCATGCTGGAAGTTAGGACACTGGGAAGCCAAGGCAAGCATCTCCACCCACCACCCACCACCCACCACCCACCCCCACCCCCCGACCCTGGGAAACCAAGCAAGCAGCTCTCCTCCCTGGTAAGCAGCAGCGGTGTGGCAGACTGCAGCCCTTCCAGGGGGAGAACCACCAGTGTCTCCTGAGATCCGCACCATGTTGGAACTGAGGACACTGGGAAGCCAAGGCAAGCATCTCCCCCCACCCCCGCCCCCCGACCCTGGGAAACCAAGCAAGCAGCTCCCCTCCCTGATAAGTGGCTGCAGTGTGACAGACTCCGGCCCCTCCAGGGAAAGAATCACCAGTGTCTTCTGAGATCCACACCATGTTGGAACTTAGGAAGCTGGGAAACCAAGCAACCAGCCTGCCTCCCTGCTAAGCAATAGTGAACCTATTTGTGTACCGCCTAGAGTGAAACATCCCACTTCCCCTACCTGCTTTCTCCTGTCCCCCGGTTAGCAAATGGGAACCAGAAATCTGAGCATCTCCTGGGAGGTTGACCATAGCAAATAAGGGTGATTTCCTTCTACCATCTCTTTGAAGACAAATATTATTATCACTGTTTTGCTCCATTCTGATTAATGGTACTGCTCTATCCAATATTCTTTTTTGATGAGTTCTATGTTCTTTCATTTTAATTTGATATATGTAATTGAAAGAACAACTATTATAAAGAAATATACTGTGATACCTATTACTGTTATCCAGGTAACCTGCTGTGAAGTTCTGTACCAATTTCACTGTATAATCTTAGTTGGCTTTATTCTGTTTTGTTCTGTTGTATTTTACTACTTTCAAAATAAAAAAAAATTTTTTTATCGGTACCAGGTATCAAACTCACGACTGCCTGCTTGCAAGACAGGTGCTTATGCTGTTGAGCTAAATCCCCAGCCCCTCAAAATAAAATTTTTTTTTAAAATAAACAATAAATAAAATCAAGAACACCCTGAAAGATCTAGTATGACACTGGATATAAAACCATGCCACACAACAGGTAGGGGTGTGTGTGTGTATATATGTGATCTGAGGACAGGAAATGAGAATGGGGCATAAGAGAAAATATCATACGGCTGAAAATTTTCCAATACTGACAAAGGATCCCAATCTACATATGCAAGAAGCATTACAAACTTAATTAGGATAAAAATAAGGAAAACCACATCTAGATATAGTATAGGTGATGAAAAATAAAAAAATCTCAAAAGTACCCAGGAATAGGGGGCTGGGGATTTAGCTCAGCGGCGTAAGCGCCTGCCTTGCAAGCAGGCAGTCATGAGTTCGATCCCCGGTACCAATAAAAAAGAAAAAACAAAAAATAAAAAAATAAAAAGTACCCAGGGAATGGGGATGAGGTTTACAAGGGGACAGATTACCTTAAACAGCCAACAGGCCTCACAACTGACAATTCATAATTAAAAATGAAAGCCAGACGACAATGTAACAAAAATACTAATTTAAAATTCCATAATAAAAATATCCATTTAAAAGGCAAGAAAGGGCCAGGGATTTAGTTCAGTGGCATAAGTGCCTGCCTGGCAAGCACAAGGTTATGAGCTTGATCCCAGTACAAAAAAAAAAGAAGAAAAAATTGGCTGGGTGTGGTGGCTCATGCCTGTGATTTCAGCACTTGGGAGGCCGAGGCAGAAGGATTGCTGTGAGTTGGAGGCCAGCCTGGGCAACAAAGTAAGTTCAACACTAGCTTGAACTGCATAGTGAAACTATGTCTGGGGGGGGGGGGGAATGCCTGAACTCTGGCAGGGTGAGGGAAAAAAGATTACAACTTCAAGCCCAACCTGGGCAACTTAGCAGCTTGGTAAGACCCTGTCTCAAAATAAAAAGGTTAGGTGCATAGTTCAGTATGGAGGCCCTGAGTTCAATCTGTAGTCTCTCTCAATCACACACATACACCGAGTTGGTAATCAGCAAGGCACAGTGTGGTAAATGCCTGTAAAGCTCAGCTCCTCCAGAGACTGAGTTATGGGGATGTAAGTTAAAAGCCAGCCTGGGCAATTTAGCAAGACCCTTTCATTAAAGAAAATTTTAAAAAGGCTGAGGATAGAGCTCAGTGTTGAAGTGCTTGCTACCATATGCAAGGCTCTAAATATACAGCAGTACTTAAAGTTACTTGCCCCCCAAAAAAGAATTTAAAATCTCTGGGGAAAACCAGGCATTTGGTGCACACCTGTAACATCACTACTCAGAAGGTTGAGGCAGGAGGATCACCAGGAGTTTGAGGCCAGCCTGGACTACATAGTGAGTTCAAGGTCAGTTGAATTACATAGGAATCTCAGCAATTTGGG